TTATCTGGTAAAAGTGAAAACTTAATGTTTTCCTTCCACTTGTTACGCTACAGCCATGTGCTGCCACGGAGCCAGCGTGTTGTTTTTCTCCAAAACACCATGTGGGAATATTTCTGGGCAAGAATCTGAGCTAAACCATTGTACAGTCTCACTTTTATGTGTGACTTCTTTTGGATGTAATGTAGCCTCATAAAACTGTGTTGCCAAATACATACACGTGTACAGAGCTTTTGATACCTTACTAAGTGCTAAAGTCATCCTAACATAACTATTAAATAACAGTTATCTGTAGTTCTGGTGGACGGGATATTAGCTGTTCCTGAGTTGCTAGAGATGAGTGTACAGCTGTATATACGAGCATCTGAGAAGCCTCATCGCAGACGGCACAGCACCAAACGACACAGTGCTTTACTTTAACCCCAAGTGGCCGCTAATCTTTAACCTGCTCGGATCTGGATCCTCTGGTTGATTTCAGACTGGAGGGATCCCACATCTTTTACACCTGCAAAATAACAGATTAGCCTTCATTTTAATATAAGTATATCCATATATTATATGAATATTAAGCTGTTTTTTACTTTAACAAGGTGCCACATCATGCTGCTGTTTGTTTTTGGTTTTTTACAGATTAAGGTATGAAGTTAGGATGGTTTATGTTGAGTTGAGCAGGTGGTTTGAATACCCTCACGTGCTTGCAAAGCCACACATAATATGCGAATGAGTTGAATTTGAAGTCTACTTTCTCAGTTTGTGTCTCTTTGTTTTTCCTCACTTTGGTTTGTATCAGTTAGAAAATACACATAAAAAGATTCTTAGTTTGACTCTGTCCTAGGTGGTGGAAACTCAGAAAACGGCACATGTACAAAGCAATAAATAGGTATTTGAAGCCCCAGGACATTAAAAAATTAAGAGATAAATAAACTGTAAAAAAAATTAAGATAAGATAGAAAACTTTATGTACACAGTGAAAAAAGAAGAGTGAATATTATAAGTATAAGAAATTATTATCATTAATATTAGAGTCAATATGCAAAACATTCATATCTCATCTGTTTTATATCATGTGAAATAAATGTTGATGTTCTTAAAACATGCTTGTTTCACTTTTCTCTTTGAAGTGATGCTTTTCAGGGCGGATT